TTACGTATGTTTTCCTCTATTAATTATTATAGGCAAAGTCTTAGGAAATTGCTCTGCGAAGCTGAAAAATTCCAGGAAGTTCTTGCCAATACTAAATTATAGATTTTTTGCCATTTTCCAGAAAATACAACATTTGAAGCATAATGCACACAATTAGACCATATGTGAACAAATTCAAAATAAATAAATATCCATAACTTTCTTATAATAAATAAAAATCTAGGGCTGGGGCTGGGGCTAAGTGCTAGTGCACTTTCCTGGCATGTGTGAGGAACTGGGTTTGATTCTCGGCACTGCATATAAATAAATAAAATAAAGGTCTATCAACAACTAAAATAAATGAATAAATAAATAAATAATCGACCTAGTGTGCATTCAAAATAAATGCTTATAAATAAAATACCTTTTACCTTTTGGAAATCTTGAGATCTTATATCCCTCTTGAGATCTTAGGTAGATTTGTACTATGTGAATTTTAGAAATTAAAAAACAAACACAAATAAAAAAAATATGCATTTAAATTCCTCTAATGTTTTCAGTCACCTTTTTGTTCTTACACATAAAATCCTTATCTATCATTAGATAGCTTTCTCCAGTTTTAATTATTTTGATCTACTGCCAAAAAATGGGGAGTCTCCTCCTATTGCCCTGTTTAGATAATATATAACTAGAACTTGTTAGCCCAGTGAAAATTTCAACATTGAATGTCGTGAATACTTTTGCCATCTTTGCAAAACCTTTCATAGTGCTGCTGTTAAAGATGGTGTAACTGCTTAATTTATCCTGTTTCCAGTTAGGTGATGGCCTATTTGTGGAAAAAACTTGAAGTTGAGATTAAAAAGAAGTCGATTGTCCCTGCACAGTTGTCAGTCAAGGCTGGATCTAGTCATTCATTTGTACGTTGGTTCATTCACACAAGTTCACTCACATAAACCCAAAACGTGTAGTGCTTTTTTCAGTTTTCAACTTCCTTCCACCAATCTTCACTTACATAAAATGCCATGTTTTTACTGGGAGTCTAAGTTTAAGTTTACACAGAAAAGACGGTGAGATTAGATGACTTTCCAACATATCTTCCAGCCTGACATATACACGTAAAATATTTACTTATGTTGCCTGAGGTTTAACTAAGCATGGTTTGCAGATGGTTCCCATGGTTACCTGAAAATTGTATGAGTTAATTTACATATTTTGACACTAACTGATGACAGGTGGGTAGCGTGCACAGACTGTGGTATTTAAACGGTTAGGAGGGAAGTGAGGACATGAAGAGGCAGTAAGTTAATGAACTGCTGGCATCAGTTAACCAACTCAGCCTCATATAAATGTTTATGAGACTCACATAAGTTCCTGAGCACATATTTACTTAATCAAAGATTAAAAGCTTTAAGAGGTGGGGAAAGGCAGATCTGACAGGAGAATTCTGAGAAACCTTAAAAGATTTGCTATTGCATTAGTAGAAAGGACAAATAGGCTGCTAGAATGAAACTGATTTCCACAGAGAGGAAGAAAAAAGAGCACCAAAAGATACCAAAACCAAGAGAAGCACCCAGAGTGAAAAATCAACAAGCTCTTCACAACCCAAATAGAATAACATAGGAAATGTGAGTTAGAATCGTGAGAACCAGAATTCAAAGCACTGGGAGCAAAAGTCAAACATTGCTAAATTACCATAAATGATACCATAGTGGAAATGCTTTATTTGACATGGTCTGAGTCACCTATACTGAGAATAGCATATTCTAACAGTTACTAGGAAGCAAAAAATGAGGAAAGCAACAGCAAAAAATAAAACACAAAAATTAGAGAACAAGAGTGCAGATGAATTCTAGATAGGGAAGAGGGATGAGAGGGAAAGAGAGGGGGCAGGGGATTAACAAGGATGGTGGAATGTGATGGACATCATTATCCAAAGTACATATATGAAGACTCGAATTGGGTGTCATCATACTTTATATACAGAGATATGAAAAATTGTGGTATATATGTGTAATAACAATTGTAATGCAAAAAAAGTACATGTATAAAAGCATAAATTGGTGTGAACATACTTTATATACAGAGATATGAAAAATTGTGCTCTATATGTGTAATGAGAATTGTCATGCATTCTGCTGTTGTGTATTTAAAAAAAATTAAAAAATTAAAGAGAGAGAGAGAAAAAAAGAGTGCAGCTCAGCAGTGCATTCCTATTGGTAGGCCCAGTTTGACTCAATTGTGTAGCAGATGGTTTGAAATGGGCAATATTTTCAACTGAATGAACTTCTCATTCCATGGGAGACAAATGTGGATGATGAAGTCAAGGGAAGGAATTTTCTTATATATTAGTTTTTTTTTTTTTTTTTTAATCACTAGCGCAACATAGGCATACTGTGCTTATTTTATTTATTTTATTCAATTTTATTTTTTTGTACCAGGAATTGAATTCAGGGACCCTTAGCCACTGAGACACATCCCCAGTCCTTTTTATTTATTATTTATTTGGAGACAGGATACTGTGCTTATTTTGAAACATGTTTCAGTCGCGTGCTTTTGCACATATTATATATTTTATATTTAACTTTTTAAATGTCTTTATTTTATTTATTTATTCATTTATTTTTATGTGGTGCTGAGGATTGAACCCAGGCCCTCACATGTGCTAGGTGAGCACTCTACGGCAGAGCCACAACTCCAGCCCTTTTATAGTTAATTTTAAAAGAGAAAGAAATACAGAATATGTATTTAAATCCTTTAGGATTGAGGGAGGTTTTTTTGTTTTTGCTTTGAGATAACAGATAATGGGAATGATGATGATCCAATACAGCAGGTAAAATTAATTATTCAGGACACACGGAAGAGTAAAGCCCTAGAGTAAGCCTGAAGGGGTCAGATCTGCTGTCTTAGTAGAGAGGTTGTCCTTCACTATAAGCAGGAATTATTGATATTTTGAAATAGGAGGAAGTCAGATTATGTAGGTAAAGATGCAGGTCGTTTGGTAGATTTGGTGTTGTAAATGTGTGCCTCTCCTGTATTATGTATACTTATTCAATAAAGTGGTAAGAAAAAGACATTAGGAGAGAAAAGGGAGTGTTTGAGGTGTGAGGGAAAGGATGTGAGAGATCCCCCCTTAGAGACATTACTGGGAGACCCATGTGAAGAAAGTGGTCTTGAATTTTAAGAGACTGTCTACTCCATACCTTTATTTATGCCAGAAACCTGAACCCCTCCAGGTAAGATCTTTCAAGAGAGTAATTAGAAAAGGGAAAAAGAAATCAAACTCATATACAAGCAGTGATTACAGTGAATGACCCATGGGCCCTAAGCCAGCTGTGGAACTGATGAACAAGGAAAAAGTACTTGGAGGTCTAGGTGGCACTAAAAATTTGTCAGAGGCAGGGAGAGGTGGCACATATCTGTGACTCAGGCTGAGGCAAGGAGAATTGCAAGTTTGAGGCCAGTCTGGGCAATTTAGCAAGACCTTGAGTCAAAATAAAAAATTAAAAAGTTCTGGGGATGTAGCTTAGTGGTAGAGCTTTCCTGGGTTCAATCCCCAGTACCCACCCCTGCACCCCTCAAAAAATTGTCAGAGACAGGTTACCAGCAGGAGTGGGCTGAAAGAGAGGAGGTAAGAATTAGAGAAGAGTAAGCTTGCAATTCTGATTTGAACAGGTTGAAATTACTGGCAATGACAAATTCTAAGGTGACCTGGAGTGAGTGGCTGAGATGGGATTGAGATAAGGGGACAAGCACCCGAAAGGTAAGTGTACCTCAACATCAATAACAGTAGAAAAACATTCACAAGTATTAAAAGTCATGAAAAGATATATATGGTTGAATGAAACACTTATGTTACAAAACAGCATGTGTAGTTTTGATCACTTTATGTGGAAATGTCCTGTGTGTGTATTCAACAAAATGGTGATTTTTTTGAGTAGTAGAATTTATGACCATTTTTACTGTCTATTTTATGTTTTCTAAACTATTTGAATTGTATATGAGGACCACTTACCCGCTAATGGTTAGCTACTGCTTCTTAAGAGTCTTTGCTCCTCCTGTTCTACTTGGAACATTTCTTACTCCTTCAAGTCTCGGCTCAAGTGTCTCCCATTAGAAAGGCCTTCCTTTGCCACAGTCGTTCAGTAGAAGAACCAAAACTCTGTTTTCAAGCTGTATCCTTTTCCCCTGCTTTGGTTTCTGAGATGTAACATCTAATATACTTTAACTTTCTTTCTTTCTTGTTTACTGTCTGACTTCTCTCTTTCTGCAGTACAAAGCATATCCCACAAGGGCAGGACTTTGTTTTTGCTCTGAACTGTAAGGTCAGTACTGGGAACAGTGACAATTACATAACACGCTATTAATAAGTGTTAAATGGGTGAAATAACTCTGTGTATGTGTATTTACTTTCATTCTGAGGTAAATATCCTTATATCTTTGTTTTGATGCCCTACAAGATATTCCCTGAAATGGCTTTGATTAAAGGTGATAATGATTAACTTAAAAACACATCAAGTTTTGTCTGTGGCCACTCAAACAGAACAATTTTACTTACATTTAATATTATTTTTTATTGAATTTTATTTAAATACTCATAAATTTAATCAAAATCTTAATGGGGAGAGTAGGCATATTTTTCTCTTCTAAATCCATAATTACTGTTGAATTAAGAAGTTTGTTTCTAGCCTGCTAAAAACCTGTTGCTCATATTTTGTTACCAGTTTCATGGAAATTTAAGGCAGAACACAGAAATTTCAAAATGGAAAAAAGCTGTGAATTTCCTTATGTTTTAGAATACAGTTTCTGTGGCCGAAGGGAGGGTTTAGAGTGTCTCTCTGCTTGACACAAGAGGTACAAATCTGGTGTGTTCTGTGGACTTATGACTGGAAACTAGGAAAAAGACACATCACCTTACTGATAAACTAGGGTGCTTCAATTTCATGTGCTGATGATCTTTTTTAGGATATAGGAGAGAACATCAAAAAAGTTTTCTAAAAAAAAAATCTCAAGTTTGCATTTACCTGTTTCATTCTCAGGGGCTGAACCACTTCCCGAACACACAGCTCCAAATCATTGAGATAATCCTTTTCTGTCTGTATTAACTCCTTGATGATTTTTGCCCGCTTTGCCATCATCTTCCTTCTCTGATGCTCCTCCTCTGGGGTTGGCGTCTCAGTTGCAGAACACTCAGCCTGTGGAGTCATCTTTTCTGTTAAATAAAAACATGTACACATGAGATATTCTGCTGAGGTTTCTTTTGCCTTCATATAAACAATGGAGGATTACTATTAGCAAGGTAAAAGGCTTATGGTATCTTCACAGTGTGTTCCTAGGAGGGTAACCTTAGCTCTCCATAAGGTCAGAATCCTTCAAAACTATGGACGAGGGGAAGGTGAGAATGAACTGCTTCAAACAAGTCATTAAATGTTTCACACTGTCCTGGCTTCTTTAAGATAGCCAATTGCCAGAATCTTGGGCTATAAAAGCTATTTTTCAGCTTGAAGGTAGACTATACAAAACACAGTTCAGAACTTCTGAACATGTTAGCTTTTAAATCAATGGAAGATTTTTCATTAGTAAGTGAAACACTTTCCAATTTTGCTTGTCCCTATTATTATAGTAATAGGGACATCATCAGGTACCCATCATCATCAGTGGGTAATAAAGAAATGAAAAACAATTACATTTTTACGATCTTTCTTTTTAATTTGCGATCAAACCCACGAGGAATAAGATAGGGGTAGATTACATGAATTTCAACTAAGATTTTCATGACTCATCTTCATACTATGTTTATCTTGTACTTTCAAAATTTTTAAACTATCAAACTACCTGGCATTTTTAATTCAAAAACAGTACAGTACTGAAGCTGGGGATGTGGCTTGGTGGTAAAGCTTGCCTAGCCTGTTTAATTCCCAGCACAGCAGGCAAAAAGAAGACCAATACTGAGGAGATACTGAGATACATGGTATGTCTCAAAAGTTCCAAGATTTTTGTATAAAAAATTAAGATAAGAAAACTAAATATCTCCAAGGACAAGTTTCACAGCAATTTAAAAAGTTTGGAAGCCACAAACTATAGACCATGAACTCAAACAGACTACAGACCATGAAATCAGAAAAATCAAAGACATCAAGGCACTGTGTGTGTGTGTGTGTGTGTGTGTGTGTGTGTATGTGAATGGATTTGTTTCCAGTTTGAATCATAATTTTCATCTTAGTCTCTGTGGTTGCAGAAGTCATTTTATTTCACTTAAGGTCACTATGATTCTAGTAACTGATAGGTAAGACATCTTCAGTGTTGACACCACTTTCTGAGAATGTAGATCTTTGCAAAAGGACCTAAAAGAGTCTACACATAAAAAAAAAAAAGGCAGATCACAATATATACAAGTGGAAGTAAAGAAAGGTGTTTTTTTGGCTTACTCTAGAAACAGAGCTCTGACAACTTGAAGGAGGCTGCCCCAAGAATGTGAGCAGGCACTTCAAAACGTAATGAGCCTTCCTCTCTCCCTGACCCACTAATTTCAGTAGCTTAGGCAAAGTCTCAATAATTAAACATCCATGGAGAATGCCAGAAAGGTAGCTCAAACATCAAGTTGTACTAGATTGTGCTTTGGACAATCCAGACTGGCAGGTGAATATGTTTCTGGACCAATTGCCTGGTATCAACTCTTCCTTCATTAGGGAAGAAGGTGATTTTGATAAATGGTATCCAAAAGCACATGGTTTTATGAGACTCCAGCCATTCAATGCCAAAGCAATAATTCACATGAGCTATATACAAGAGAGAACCCATGTAAGGAGAGATAATGAATGCATGGGGTGTAATGTAGCCTTCACATCTTGTGCTATGTTATGAGAATTCTAGAAGGCCTGCTAATTTGTACTATTTTTATTAGAAAGTAGGCCTGCCTCTCAGTGCCCCGAATTTGAAAGAACAAGTTATAATCAGTGGGGAGATGCAGTGAGCAGAACATGAACAGAACCATTGTGAGCTTATACAAATTTTTAAAATTATATGTATTTAAGGTATACAACATAATGATTTCACAAATACTTACATGGTGAAATTATTGGGTGGGGGACTGATGGAAGTGATAGGTTCTTTACCCCTGGGATATGTGAAATAATATGTTGAAAGGAATCTCACCAATAGGGAGTTCACAAATCAGTATAGAGAGTGTCCAATTATTACTTAACATTACCTTGAAAATAAAAGGACACTATTGAAAAACTGTTCTTTTCCAAGTTATAAACATTTTATACCTTATAAGAATAATCTATCCGTTATTTAAGAGCTTAAAAGTGTCTTTCTTTATCTGTGGCAAATAAATATCCCTAAAGCACATTCTCAGATTCAATTACTATGTCAATTTAACTTATTTCACAGATGTTACAGCTGCTGCACCTTAAAACATAACACACCAGATTTTTTAAAATTAAAAACTACTTAGGTTTTCTAATACTGCCCAGCAACTTATTCATCATCATGGTGAGGCGGGGGCGGGGGGGGGGGGGGGCAAAGGAGTTGAAATAAAGTGTCAAGTCAAGATACTCAACTTCAAAAATTTCTGCTTTCAGGTGTAAAAACCTTGGGGCATTCCAGGTTGAGCAACCTTATGAGATATCTGTGTTTGTTCTTTTGACTCAAGTTTACTGCAGGAAGAAAGACTTGACTTGCATCATTTTATGGTCAGATATCTGAACACTTTTTATGTTTGCATTTCTTAAACAAACAAACATGTGCAATGCATTGTGGACTCCAAGTTCTGTTTTTATAAGATTCTAAGATCCTTCTCTGCCTCTCAAACTTTTTTTTAAAAAATCTTTTAACTACACTAAGTTTTACATATAAAGGTATCTGTAACTCTAACACATGTCACCCAAATCTACATTCAGCTCTGACAATCTTTTATTTCTGGATAAAAAGAGAAGCTAAGTATTTAGGAAGGAAGAAAAAGTAGAGTTTTAGTAATGAAATTTTCCCCCCAGTAGTTTAAATAGACTATATTGAAGCCAAAGATAAACTAAGAGGATGCATAAATTGTAACCAGCCTGTAATCCCAGTGGTCTGGCAGTCAGGCTGAGGCAGGAGAATGGAAAATTGAACTTAGTGTTCAATAGGGTTTCCTGTTATTTTGCCCAACTGTAGGCTGATGTAAGAATTTTAAGGACATTTACTTAGTCTAGGCTAAGCTATTATGTTCTATAGGTAAAGTGTATTAATTGCCTATTCTTCTTATATTACTTTCATTTTATAATGAGTTCATTAGGACATAGCCCATCAAATCAAGGAGTGTATCTGTACTCTGAAAGTTTTCTATCATCAAAGGCAAACAATTACCCCTGGTTTTAAAATGACCAGCTTTTCAAGAAAAATACATGATTCTAAAGTGGTTGGACAGCTTTTTTTTCAGACAGGAGAGGAAGAGGAAAAGAAATAAAGGAAGTGGTTTAAGGAGGAAAGTCAGAATAGTGCTGAGATTTGAAACTCTGAGCAACTTGCTTGGGTTGATTACACACTGGAGAAGGATCCTGGTCTTTTAGAGAAAAGAAAAAGCACCCAAAGGTAAAGGAGTGATGAGAAAAGACTGAAGACAACCTCAGCAACTTAGTGAGGCCCTGTCTCAAAACAAAAAATAAAAAAGACTGGCGGTTTTGCTTAGGATTGATTGTATCCTCATTTTGCTTTGTTGTTATTGTCAATTTGGCTACTGCTGTCTGGGGATGGATTTATGGAGAGACAATTGCTTCCTTTAATTTTTTATTGTAAAACAATATGTTTGCTATATATTATTTGTTATATATATATATTTGTTATATATTAGCATAATATAAAGGATAGGTATATAGACTTGGGAGCCAGACCATATGGATTTAAACTCTGCCTCTTTCATTCATTAGATATTTTACCTTAGACAAGTTATTATAACTCTTTATACATAATTCCCTCATCTGTAATTTAAGAATAATGCTAGTAAAACTTTATAAACTGGTTTTAAATATTAAATGAATTAACACTTAGTAAATTCGCTCTTGGCACAGGCACAGGCGCTGGCGATGATTACAACTTTATCTGCTTTGGCGGCAGACTGCTTTGTGCAAAGCTACCACCTCTGCCACCAACCTTTCCACCTGGCCACAGTTCAGAATCAACAGTGAGACGATTGTGCAATCAGCTTCAATCTTCAGAGGAAGAACTGTTGAACTTAATCAATAATCTAAGTAATGATGAAAATCTAGACAGTCTCCTTGTTCAGCTGCCTCTCCCAGAGCACAGTGATAAAATAAAGATCAGCAATGCTGGTCCTCCGACAAGGATGTTGATGGCTTTCATGTAACTAATGTAGGGCGAATGTGTTTGGACCAATAGTGCATGTTACCCACTACCCCAGGAGGTGTGTGGAGATTAATTAAGCAAACTGGTATTCCATCCCTAGGGAAGAACATGGTTGTTGCTGAAAGATCAAAAAATGTTAGAGTGTACATTGCAATGTTACTACACAGAGATGGGGCTCATGAATGACCTGGAGGTGATGTCATCTTTCCAGTATGTATCTCATTGATACACTCCCGAAGAACAATTGAAGAAACACACAATTCTTGCAGATATTATCATATCTACTGCAGGCATTCCAAGTCTGATCACAGCAGATACAGACAAGGAAGGAACAGCAATCATTGACATGAGAATAAACAGAATTCAGGATCCTGTAACTGCTAAACCCAAGTTGGTTGGAGACTTTGAAGGAGTCAGTAAGAAAGCCAGTTATATTACTCCTGTCCCTGGGGGTGTTGGTCCCATGACAGTGGCTATGCTGATGAAGAATACCATTATTGCTACAAAAAAAGTACTGAGGCCTGAAGAGTAGGAAATGCTGAAGTCTAAAGAACTTGGAGTAGCCACCAAGTATTGTGTCTACTGTGCCAAGAACAGTGCTTCAAGCCAGTCCACAAAGAAATAAAGCAGGCCATTAGAAATGCAACATTTTAAATTTATTCTGCTGGAATGGTTTAACATGATGCTTTGTATTTATTGAAAGCTTAAATGGGTGGATGTGTGCACACATGGCTCTGTAGTACTTCACCAGGGAACACTCCAGTGTCCCACTAATATCTCTAGCCAAGAGAAATCATTAACCTAGTGATTAACATGGGAGACCTTGTCTCATTGAGAATGGATTCCTAATTTTGTTAACCCACTTTG